ACCAGTAAACATAAAACCAGATCGAACAGGCCGATTCAACTAGAAAATTGATGAACCGGCTAGTGGGCCGGTTTGATTTAATCACTGACCCAACTACAAATTCAATGGGTGACAAACCTTTTGCATCCTAATTTTTATATCTCTAAGATTTAAATAAATTTTTATTAAGATAAAAATAGATAGAGATTATATATATAAGCAATTAAAATAATTAAAATTTCATGTATTTGTGTATATGTATAAACATGTGTATAAATAAATGAATAAGATAACAATATTAAGAAATCTCACATTGACTAAATGATGAGAAGATGGATAAAATAACAATATTGAGAAGTCCTACATGACTGAATCATAGATAAATGGAGTTCTTGGGGGCTATATATAGATGGTAGTAGAGGAAAGTTAAGAGCAAGGTAAATAATTTTGGCATAAAATTAAAATAGTCTCGGTAAAGTTCTGTTTAATTACGAATTCGTGAACCATTAAATCAAGCTGTAATTTGGTCATCTAGTCCTAAAATTCATACTCATCAATTTTAACAGTCGAATCATCAATACGATTTCTAAGGTATGAGTTATTAAGTACACTTTGAACTCATTTTTCTAGATTTTATAAATAGGACCCTGAATAGGAAATGATTGTTTTTAAATATTTTCGTCATTGGATCGAGGTATAATTTGAAGAATTGATTTATAACATCTAAGATGTTAAATTCAATGGTGAGATTAAATTAGACTCCTTTGGTAAGGATAACTTAACTCATATTAAATCTGTTTATATGAGATTTTCAAGAATAGAATATAAGCTATGAATTGAGGGTTCTCTATCCAAGTTGTGAATTTGGTGATTCTGATGATCTAATTTAATTAAATAATAATATAAGCTAAAGGAACCTAGGAATTGAATCTAAATCCTCATATATGTTCTTACCCCAACCCCCTTAAAAAAAAGCCTTTTGAACCAAAATTTTGAGTAACAGTTGATGGTCTTAGAAGGAGAGTTAAAAGCTAGAAATTTGTGAGTAGTTTGCTCTAATACTGTAAAGATAATGTTTTAATTTTACTTGTAAATATAAATACTACAATGGCATTTTCAAGTACGAATCTCATTTGTATTTGATTATTAGCTAGGAGTCTAAGTAACTAAATTTCTATCTGTTGCATACTTTGGTATGAGGTTGTAAGTGGTTTTATAACCAATTTTTGTATAGATATGTTATCTTTTGTATGAAATGTCTTGTGAAATGCTATTTTAAAAAAAGTTGAAATCGTTTGTATTGTTAAAAACTAATGATTATAACTATGAGGTATTATTTTAAAATTCATTTAATTATGCATATAAATATGTTATTGTGGTCTAGTTTGGTTAGGGGAAGGAGATGGTTGGAGTATGCAAATATATACATGCCACGTGGTATTGACTACTATATATGGCTCTATGGGTTGCCATTATTATTGTTTCACTAGTTCTTTGAAGGACTGCGACACCCCACTAATTCTTCGAGTGGGGACCCATGGTTCACCGAGTGCTATATGATTTTTGACTGGTCCACATCACTCATGTGGGAAGCTTGTGAGAGTATCTAGTCAAATGAAAAAAAACCAAGCCCATTGGTCCAATCGATGGAAATAAGGAGCAGATAAGGGTGGATTTAGGTTCACAGGTTACATGTGACATGGAATGTTCATTGATATTTATATCTTTTGGATAAATGAAAAGTATGTTATCCCTTATGATATTATCAACTACTTGAGACTGGCTAAAATATCTTATTTATATAGTCATTGTGAGTTTAACTATTAAATAAATGATTATTGATTTATTAACTCTGTATTGTGTATCCCACTTGACACCTCCCTAGCCTATGCTAATGTATGTGATAAATAGGAATTTAGTTACTGAAGCATTGTCTCATTCCTATTATTTAACATTTTTCAGGTAAAAGCTTTAGAGGAGGAATGCTCAGGAGGAGTAAAGCTACATTATCAACTTATATCATATTCTCGATTTATGAGTTAGATTGTTTCATGTATATTATCACCTTAGGACAAACTGTATTTAATTGGTTCATGTATTATTATATTTTTGTGTCATTTGATTTGTACTGTTGCGGTATGCGTGCTGGTAGTTGGCCAGAGGCCTAGGATCGGATGTGATTTGTTTATGAAGTTGCTATAAATTATGAATTGAGATTTAATTCTTACTTTTTCAATTTATGAGCCATATAATATGTTGTTTTATAACCATATTAGGTGAGATGGATCTTTTCTTATATGGTTTGCATTTGAATGAGTTGAGAAAAGTTCTTTTATCCATAATAAGATATATGATTAGGTGTTACTCCTTTTTGTCACGAATAACATTATTATATAATTAGTTGGTTTATATGATTGTGATATAACGTGAGTTTGTTGTTAGCATGATTTGGTTATAAAAAGTTATCTTTTAAAGTTACTATGAAAGGTTAAATTTATTGGTTTATTTATGAAGGTTGTTTCATTTGGTCAAATAGGGGGTAAATTGGTAAAACCAATAAAAATTGATGTGAATAGGTAATGAATTGGTTTGGATAATTATATTGTTATTGATTCTATTTTTTCTCATTCAACTCCTCATATCTCAGTCATTATGAATTTGAATGCATTTTAATAATAATTTTGATATCAATAATTATTGACTTTAGTTATGAAGGAATTAAAAAGAATCAAAATTCTCAATATTGTTATATTTTGTTATTATTACAATCAAATTATTGTTGTATTTTCTTGTATCTTGTTATTAATAATTATTGTTGTTGTTGTTGTATTTTGTTATTTTTAATTAAATTATATTGTTTTAATATAACCGGTATGATTCCTGTTGGGCCTCGATCTGACCTACTGACAATTGAACCACGACCTCAACTGATTTAATATTCAATCTGATTTTTTGTTCCTTGATTTTCACATACTCGCTCTGGTTCTCGGATTTATGACTACTGACGGCTTAATAGCGGCCAGATGACAGGTTAACACAGTTCAACCTCTCGAACAAGTATTAGATCTGAACCAAGTTGGAGAAGATTTTGGCCAACAATTTGACCAGTTGGTCTGGTCCGGCTCTTTAAACATTGGTTCTCTCAAAGAAAATTTTTGGATTAATACAAACTTCGGTCCCTTAAGTTTATCTTCATTTTGGTTTTGGTCCCTCAAATTTCAAACTATAGGTTTTGGTTTCTCAAGTTTCTTTTCATTTGTAACGTTGGTCTCTATAATCCAATAAAGACTTGGACCATTTTCCCCTTCAAGGACCAAAACATATATTTTAAAATTTGAGGGACTAAAACCAAAATGAGGACAAATTTAAAGGATAAAAAACTATATTAATCCAAAATTTTTTATTGCATATTATAAGTCTTTTTAAAATTCCAAAACAATATTTAACATTTCCTGATTAGCCCAACAATTTACTAATTTATGTAAGACAGGTAAACATGTTGTTTATTATCCAGTACGCAGTGCCTATTCCAGCGCAATTAAATGAGGCGTCAATTTGGTAAAATATATCATATTTTACACATGTATATATTGTATTTTTTAATTTTCTTTAATTATTTATCTCTTATCATATTTTCTCATACATTCTTTTTTATTCTTTTTTTAATTATAAAAGCATATTTAAAATAAAAATATATTTCTAATTTATTTTTAATCAATTACTCCCTCCGTTCCTTATTATAAGAGACATTTGATGCTTATGGCATGTTCCTATATATAAGAGACACTTACAAGTTGTCTCTACTTTTTTGTGTTGATTTACTATTTTACCCATAGTTATTATTTCCAACTCACACTCTCTCTCCCTCCCACTTCTCTTTCTTTTAATAATTTAATTGTTCTCTCTCATGTTCTCTCTCCTTATTAATGAGGGTATTTTTGGAAAAAAATTATACTTTTTACACATTAATTGTTCTTAACTAATTTTAACTGTTTTTTTTATCAACGTACTTCGGTTATTTGTCTCTTATAATAAGAAACGGAGGGAGTATTTATTATCTATAAATTAGTCAATTGAAACTTATAATAAAAAAGAATTTAGCATGATTAAACAGTTAGAGTAAAAATTTTATTTAATAGTTGGGCCCTTCGCTGATATCTTAGTTCTTAAGGACGTTACGTCATCTCATAACCCATCGCATACGTCTCTCTCTATTCATGTGCGTGTTTATTTCCCGGCCAACCTCTCTCTTTGATTGTGTCGACAAAATAAAGCTACAAATTAAAGACCTGTGTTTTTTTTTTTTTAAGATGAAAAGAATAGTTTATTACTTTCTCTTATCTTAAATATAAGAGTTATATAAGAAATTTATTTTAATTCTAAATATAATACATCAATTATTTTGATTAGAAAAAATATTTTACAAAGATCAAGACATGTTTTTGTAACATATAACTAATAATGTAGCTAATTTTCTTAATATATTCAAATGTTAAAAATCAAATGGGAGGCAGTAGAAAAGAAAAGAAAAACTAAAGGAAAAAAAATAGGGGAATTAGTATATGCTAGCAACAGCTCAGACATACTTTTGCACCTAATTAATCAACACTTAAACGCAAAACAGGTAAGGTTGGTGAGAGAATCTGGGTAGACGAAGCTAAATATTCTCGACCTTAACTTGATTATATGAAAGCTCTGTTTACCCACGCAAACAAAAACCACATATTAGTTGCAACACCCGTTGCAGAAAAAGATAAGTTTGTTGCATATACTATTCTGTGGGTTTACCTCACTTACCAAACTCGGTCGATATAAATAATTAATTCAAGAAGTGGGACACCCCCCCCCCCCCAATTCCACGGCGTTCTAGAAGTCTCATTCAAAGTATTTACACCCAGAAATAACAACTCCTTGACAATATTGGGTTATATTCAATGAAACATAGACGCATTTCTCATACTTGTTCATATCTCCTAAATCACCAAGACTTGCAGAGCAAGCATTTAGTATTATTCCTTTTTTCTTGTTATTATTATTATTTTCCATTGGCCGACACTTTTGTGGACTGTGTTTTCCTTGACCTGGCCTCTTCATTTGCCCTTTCCTATTGGCCAAGATCATAATATATATGAAGAAGCATCATGGGAGGAATGGCGGTGACGAAGCATTCTCTTCCAATTAAACGCTGATATTCTTGCCTGAATCACACTTTCATCGTCAATATGAAGGTAATACTCAACCCTCTCTCTCTCTCTCTATATATATATATCTTCATCTCTTCATTAGCTAATGAAACTTCTTGGTTGAATTCACACACATATATATATGTCTTTTATTGGTAGAGAGGTCGATCAGATCTGTGTTTTGGTATGGTTCTTATCAGTTCTCTCGTACGTACTGCTAGTTCGTGTAATTAAACAATGAGATGCTTCCTGGGATGAAATCGCGTCCGGTTCATGACTGTGCCGTCCAGATCTGATGTGATATGATAACGTTGTGTGATTGTGTTTGGTGCAGCAAAAGATATCGATGAAGGTGGCGATGCATTGCCAGAAGTGCCGAGCAAAAGCTCTCACCGTTGCCGCCGGAAGCAATGGCGTAGATTTTGTGGGATTGGAGGGGCAAGAGAAAGACAAGGTGGTGGTCATCGGAAACGGAGTGGACGCCGCCAGGCTCGCTAGCTGTTTGAGGAAGAAAGTGGGTCATACCGATATTATTAGCGTTACTGAGGTCAAATAAGTGGTATAATTACTATTCTCATGCAGTGATGAATTCTGAGGATGAAATGGATTGCTTCATTTTCTCTAATATATGTACCAGACAGGAAGAGGTTGCAGCTAGCAGAGCCGCCTTTTGAAATGAACATTACTGCTTCGATAGTTCGACCTTCCACGTGCATCTTCATCCATCTGTACTATGCTCATATTTTCATTATACACATAATAATCACAGATCAAAGATTTGTTGGATTGAGTTATATGTTTGAGCATATACACACACTACTTTCAATTCTTATTATGAGACCTTGTTTATAAATTATAAATAAAATTTTATAATTAAGATCAAAGACAGTATACAGAGAGAGTATTATCTCCGGTCAATCACTAATTAATCAAATATTATGCCCAGTTTCGAGCCCAGACAATATGCCTGAATACTTTCCTGCCACTTATTACATCCTTATACGCGTGCTTTGTGTAATTTGTGTTTTGAATTAATTATTATAAAAAGTGACGAAAACCACACAGAGGTTGGCTTAGGTCATAGAAAATGGATTGATTTGCAGCTACAAAAGCCTTAATTACAAGGTTGTTGGGAATGTGTTTCATTGGTTATATCTCCCTCTGCGCGTTGCCTGACTCGTCGTCTGCTGAAGTCAAGCTTCTTTTCTCCGCTTCCCTCGACCCCCGCCGGCATTTTTTATCCGCTTATTTCCTCGGGCTTCACGATCTGCCTATGCGTCGTGGCCCATTGGGCCTATCTCTGGGCCTCACTTGAAGCATACGGCCCAAAACAACAGGCTCCTCTCTACGAAGTGACCAAGTCAAGAGAACTCGAAACTCAATACATAGACTTACAAAAAGGAGCGGAAATTAGAGTTATGAAATCCAAACAGAATTTTTAAGATTCAATACTTCTATGAGCCATTCCGGTCCAAAAAAAAAAACTTCTATGAGCCACCAAACACACGCCGTGACACCGCACACTCGCCCCCGGTGGGCCCCATGAACAGCCCCATGTGGGGGCGTCCATCACGGTGATACCATCCCCTTTCAGCTGATTCCCCATTATCTCCTTTTCCTCCGCCCCCTCCTTCATTATTTCACTACCTAGTACCTAGTACCTAGTAGGAGTCGTATTCCTTTTATTAATAATTTATAATAAAAACACGAGTTCATATAAATAACAAGGCGTTGACTTGACTTGAAGCCCGTCGAGTTGAGCGCTGAGGGGCAACCTTGGTGGCCGTGACACGTCAGGGGGCCGAGGGTGACGTGGCACTATCCTCCTCTGCCTTGCTCCTTGGTCACGTCGTCGTGCTGTGAACAACGCTTCCCGAGCTAATTCCCTCCCTCAGTAACTCATTCTCATATTAAAAGAACAAGAAGAGGGATAAGGTTGGTGAGACCGAGAACACCAGGGAGGGACGGTGGGGATCCGGTGGACTCCCATGCAATGGGAGCGCAGGTGGAGGCGCCTCCATTTGGACACATGCACGTCCGCGCGCTCAGGATATGACGGACGGTAACGCCCCGTCTTAGTCTGCTTTTCCCCTCGCTCCCTTTCTCTCGATCATCCATCTTTCAACGCATTGTCTTTTGCATCACATTTTCATCTTATTTTAATGAAAAATTCATAAAAGGCTCCCATAAAACATATCAAATCATTTGACGAGTGTGAAGTCTTAAGCAGATTTTTCATGGGTGAAGTCCATAAATAATAATTCTTTTTTTACCTTGTCGTTGGCGGTAGATATTTTAAATACTCCTCCGGTCCTTAATATAGGACCCAATTCTTGAGTTGGTTTTGGTCCTAAATATAAGACCCATTTCTCATATTTATCATTTTTCTCTAAATTACCCCTATGGATACTCCCTCAACCATAATCAAGTAGAAGAGGGAGAGAGGGTATTAAAAAAGATGATTATGATATTTTAGGAAAAATGTGCCACTTTTCTTATAATTAACTAACTTACCTAACTTCCTTAATTTAATCAAATTAGTTAAATGGGTCTTATATTAAGGATCGGAGGAGTATAACATAGCGATAAATACTTTTAAAACTATAGCATTTTGGTTTATTTTTTTTACTGTGTATAACGTACTGGTAAAAACGCCCTACAATTTACTAACTTATGTAACACAGATAAAAATATTGATTATTACACAGTACATCAGTGCCTATTCGAACGCAATTAAATGAGGCGTAAATTTGGTAAAATATATCATATTTCACACATGCATATATTTTATTTTTTTAATTATCCTTAATTATTTATCTTTTATCATATTTTACAACATATTTTTAATTTATTATAAAAACATATTTAAAATAAAAATATATTTCCAACCTATATATTATTTTTAATTAATTATTTATTATTTATAAATTATTTAATTAGCACTTACTAACCGTTTTGAGTATAATGAAACAGCTAGAGTGAAAATTTTATCTGGTAGGTGGGTCCTTCGCTGCTGTCTTAATTCTTAAGGACGTTACATCATCTCATAGCCCGCCGCACACGCCTCTCTTTGTTCATGTGTGTGTGTTTTCATCCAGCCAGCCTTCATGATTGTGTTGACAAAATGAAGATACAAATTGAAGACTTGTGTCCCTTTTTTCTTTAAAGATGAAAAGAATAGTTTATTACTTCCTGCCATCTTAAATATAAGAATTGTATAAAAGATTTATTTTAATTTTAAATGCAATATATAAATTCATTTTGATTAGGAAAAATATTTTAAAAAAGATCAACACATTTTTGTAATATATAACTAATAACGTAACTAATTTTTTTAATATATTCAAATTAATTAAATAATTCTTATTAGTAAAAAAGGAAAAAAAATAAAGAGAAAAAATAGGGGAATTAGTATATGGTCATTAAATCATTCCAAACTTGATGAAAACAAAATAGCTGCTGGCATTAGCTCAGACATAATTTTGCACCTAATTAATCAACACTTAAACGCAAACACAGGCAAGGTTGATGTGAGAATCTGGGCAGACGAAGCTAAACCTGATCATATGAAAGCTCTGTTTACCCACGCAAACAAAAACTGCATATTAGTTGCAACACCCATCGCAGAAAAAAGATGAGTTTATTACATACACTATTCTGTAGGTTTACCTCACTTACCAAACTCGGTTGATTAATTCAAGAAGTGGGACACTTTTTTCCCCCCAATTCCACGGCGTTGTAGAAGCCTCATTCAAAGTTTTACACCCAGAAATAATAACTCCTTGACAATATCGGTTATGTTCAACGAGACAAAGACGCAATTCTCATACTTGTTCATATCTCCGAAATTACCAAGACTTGCAGAGCAAGCATCTAGTATTATTCCTTTTTTCTTGTTATTATTATTACCACCTCCTGTTCTAATTATAAATCTTATCTGTAGACTATAAACGAGGTCTTATAATTAGAATGCGATATAGTATTATTTTCCATTGGCCGACACTCTTGTAGAGCCTGTTTTTCTTGACCTGGCCTGTTCATTTGCCCTTTCCTATTGGCCAAGATCATGTTATATATATATATATATATATATATATGAAGCATCGTGAGAAATAGTGGTGACGCATTCTCTTCTAATTAAACTCTGATATTCTTGCCTGAGTCACACTTTCATCGTCAATATGAAGGTAATACGCCTCTCTCTCTCTCTCTCTCTCTGTCTCTTTCTTCATCGCTTCATCAGCTAATTAAACTTCTCGGTTGAATTCGTATATATCTTTTATTGGTAGAGAGGTGGATTAATTAGAAAGCCCACCATATATATACATAGATATCAATTAGATCTGTGTTTTGGTGTTGTTCTTATCAGTTCTCTCGTTCGTACGTACTGCTAGTTCGTGTAATCAAACAATTAGATGCTTCCTGGGATGAAATCGTGTCTGGTTCATTATTGTGCTGTGCAGATCTGATGTGATTGATATGATAACCTTGTGTAATTGTGTTTGGTGCAGCAAAAGATAACGATGAAGGTGGTGATGCATTGCCAGAAGTGCCGAGCAAAAGCTCTCACCGTTGCCGCAGGAAGCAATGGCGTAGATTTTGTGGGGTTGGAGGGGCAAGAGAAGGACAGGGTGGTGGTCATCGGAAACGGAGTGGACGCCGCCGGGCTGGCGAGCTGTATGAGGAAGAAAGTGGGTCATGCCGATATTATTAGCGTTACTGAGGTTAAATAAGCAGTATAGTTAGTATTCTCATGCAGTGATGAATTCTGAGGATGAAATGGATTGGTTCATTTTCTCTAATATATGTACCAAACATGAAGAGGTTGCAGCCAGCAGAGCCACCTTTTGACATGAACATTACTTCTTCGACAGTTCGACCTTCCACATCTTCATCCATCTTTACTATGTTCATCTTTTCATTGTACACATAATAATCATAGATTAAACGTTAGTTGGATTGAATTATATGTTTGAGCATATATATATATATAGAGAGAGAGGGAGAGTTATCTCCCGTCAATCACTAATTAATCAAATATTATGCCCAGTTTCAGGCCCAGACAGTATGCCTGAATACTTTCCTGCTGCTTATTACATCTTTATACGCGTGCTTTGTGTAATTGGCGTTTTGAATTAGTTATTACTCTTCCGGTCCTTAATATAAAATCTAATTATTGAGTTGATTTTGATCATAAATATAATATCTATTTTTTATATTTATCAATTTTTTCTAAATTATCCTTATAAATCTCCCTCTACTATAATCAAGTAGAAGAGGGAGAGAGGATATCAAGGAAAATGATTATAATGTTTTACGAAAAATATGTCATATTTTTTAAGAATTAACTAACTTACCTAACTTCTTCGATCCAATTAAATTAATTAAATACGTCTCATGTTAAGGACTAAAGGAGTATAAAAAGTGATGAAAGCCACACGGAGGTGGGCTTAGTTCATAGAAAATGGATTGATTTGCAGCTGCAAAAGCCTTAATTACAAGCTTGTTGGGAATGTGTTTCATTGGTTGCATCTCCCTCTGCGCGTTGCCTGACTCGTCGTCGTCTGAAGTCAAGCTTCTTTTCTCCGCTTCCCTCGAACCCTGCCGATCGGGCTTCACGATCTGCCTATGAGTGTGGCCCATTGGGCCTATTATCTGGGCCTAAATTGAAGCCATGCGGCCCAAAACAACAGG